AGAATGCCATGATTAATATTGGTCAAAGACTGATAAAGGATATGATGAGGATTTGGGTAAGTTTTATTATGTTTAGTAAATAATAAGTAATTAAATAAAAGTGATCAGCTTCAGATTAAAGGCGGGACAACATCTTGGAAGTAGCGCTTTCTCTCTGAGGTATCTTTGTCTAAGTCCAATGTCAATGAGCTATATCACACTCTATTTTGAATCAAGGTTTTATTCAATTCATGATAATTTAGAATAGAATTTACATTTAAGTGTTAAAGAAAATCTTTTCTCCGTTAAAATTAGAATTGAATCTTTCAAACCAACTTTTGTTATGCTAGAATATTGAGAAACACATTTTAAAAAATGCATATTAGTATTTGTGATGTAAGAAAGGTAACTCTCTTTTATAGCTCTACTTGGATACTTTCCTTTAAAAAAAACGTTATTGGTAATCTAACAAACACACATTATGATAAACATGATGACTTTAAGTTTTATAGACAACTTCTCTTACATGTACTTATGCTGAAATATACCTTTACCTGCATATGGATTTGATATATTTCAGTTGATTCCAAACACATACATGTCAGCATGCTCTACGTATAAACAATTTCTAAAACGAGGTAATTTTTTGACAAACAAGTTGATTAAACAGTAATATCAACAGTTTCGTTTTAATTCATTATTCGTAAGTTATATGGTCGATGCACTGTCCTTCTCAGCAAATACAATTTATCACTGACTCAAATGCTGTTACATACTTATTGTTGATCTATTATTTATACACTGAATTGACGGCGGGTTTTTTCGTTATTTCCCCGATCATGACAAGGAGCACACGGCGAGTGTGACCGGTTAGCAGGGGATGCTCACTCCACGGCATCTGATCCCAAATGATATTGTATTTGCTGACAAGGTCATTGTATCTACCATAGAATTTAAGAAAATATGGCTTTAAACGAGACAGTTGAAATGACCTCTTCATTAATGAAGTTGGGACTAAATTTCTGATTCTTGAACAGATTGGTTCTTAATTATATTAATTCGACATTACCCTACCAAAAGATGTTATTGCTAGGTCAAAATTATGATTATTATTATCTTTTTATCAATGATAAAGAAAATATGTAAACTGTACTTTTATTTACCTTAACTTATTAGATAAACATAACCTATTACTTGCATTGTAAATTTCTCATCGACAATAATCCTTAGACTTAAGAAAATGTCTTCGCATTTCAAAAGGTTTAAAAAAAATTCTCAATGTATAAAAATATTCAAAGAATATATTCGTATTTTCTTTTAAAAAAAATATGCATCATTACTTAATTTGTTTCTCAAGTGAAAGTTTAAAATCTATTTGAGATTTTGACCTCTTTATTTCCATTTAAAAAATAATGTATATCGTGAAAACACTGTAAGTATTGTCTACTAAATCAAAATTATTTTATTATTCTTTTCATTGTTTCCCTTGCTTTGGATATCGCTATGGTTAATGCTTATCAAAACAATATTTTCCAGGAATTGCACTTCAGTCTTTCATGCATATCTGTTTAATCACTCCGTGTGTGCATCAAGTACAGTATACTTGGAATCTAATTTTCTTTCAATATGTTGTTCAAAAAGATCCCAAATATTGATAGAGATTAATCAAAACATAAACTTGTGCTTTTTGTTACAAAATCTATCAGAGATGTATCCAAAACAGATCTCCCACTTTTTGTTGCCCCCATTTGTACAAGCTGCATGCAAAACCGCTACAAGTATCCTCAACTTCATTGTGTTGGCAGTTACGTCAGATGCAACTAACCGACCATAAGGTCACTCCGACATCTCATCAGCAGAATCAGGGAAAAATACATGTACTGAATTAAACATAAATGAATTTATTTTCAAAAAAAAAACTTTAGATTTTATGAGCAATATAGTTTCTCAATATACTAACTATTGTACTTTGTATTCCCTTTGGTATTGTTGGTTTATAGTTGCTTTAAACCGTGTGTATATCTAAATTTCTTCCATGAAATAATGTATCACACAATAGAAAGGCATGAGTAAGAACGCCATATAAGTTCAAAGGCTTTTTTATTATCCTATATATCATTAGAATAGTCTCTTTCCCTTACTTAACCACTCATTAAAATGGTATAAATAGTCAGAAGGATACACATGGTCCAGGAAGATATGTCTAGTTGTTCTTCTACATGTGTTTGTTCTTTTATTTGGGGATTGAGTGTCGACCCATACAAGGATTATAAGAACAGAACCTTAAACATTTGCAGACACTATATGAGAGGAAAGACCCATTTTATTATCTTCTATCATCTTATTGGCAAATTTGTTTAGGATCCTTAAATTAAACCCTATGATGCTTATATATTCCCTGGATTATTAGTCCATGTAAAAGGGTGGTCATCAATATTTAGAATCTTGAACATGTTTCTTTTATGGAAGGCTCAAATTAAATTCCATCCAGCAAAAGAATTTACAATATTCATGCGACTAAATTAAAGTTTATTTAGTAATTCTAGGTTTTTTTTCACTTTCCTAATATTTTTGTAAACTTTGAGATCATGGGTCCATATCAGAATAGTTTTGAATAGATCTGAATACATTATCTCGATATTGGTGAGTTATTTGTTCAACGGTTATCCTGATTTAACCTTTCATCAAAATTAAAGTGCTGTCTGGTCATTATTCTTGGTTCCTTTTTATTAAGTTATGCGGGTCAAAATATATGGTCAAGGTCAAAATATATATATTCCAATTGACAGGAATACATATGTGAGAGACCAGCCAACCAAGTCTTTAGTTATGGACAAGATTAAAGTTTTTCCGGACTAAAAAAAACATACAAAGAGATGAACATATATTGAAAAGTATATATATATACCCATGAATCTTCGATTCAGGGGGCAACCGATGCCCTCAAGAACAGCAATGCCATAATTTGTCCTACTGTTTCGAAACCATACTTAGATGGTGAAGGCTCAATTTAGTTCTAATCATAGGCAGGGTATAGTCACAGTGGGTGTTCAAAGTTTTACACGAGAATTAATAAAAGAAAGAAATAAACTGATGAAGAAAAGACAGGATTATACTAACTAAAATGAATGCTGAGAGTCTTGATATTTAAGTGTTTTTTTTTATTTAAAGAACATTAGATTTTGTCGATTTCGCAAAGCACGAAACGGAAAGCTTTTTGCACCTCAAAAGAAGGTAGTCTACACAATACTACGACCTTAAGTGGTTTACTTTATTTAGGGAAAAATATCAAATAAAAAATCTGGTCAATAAATCACAAAACAAAAAATCAGATAATATACGTAAAAGTATTTTGTTCAAGTTTACATCAGCCAACCAAAAACTTACAAATGTATGCTAAAATGATAATGTGTTAACAAATAATGACATACAAGTGCTTTGTGGTCATTTGGTTCCACAGAAGTAATTAAGCTTGAATATGTTGATGTTCAACTTGTGACTACACTGCAGTTAAAGGATCACAAAAAAACATCCATTTTAAAAGAAGAAAAACTAAAGAGTTAAGTCTATTTTAATCTTGCAAATTCTCGTTTAAAGTAAATACTTTATGTAAATTTAGATATTTCTATAATAAATTAAAGTATTTAAATCAAAGACCTCATGACTAACGACGACTCATAATCAGCAGGGCAAAGAGAGATTGATTTTGTCACAATTACGTATAATCATGCTTAGTTTCTTTTACAGGTACATGTATCAGCATTTGCCCCAATATTAAAAAAAATCCCAGTTGCAAGCGATAAATATATACGTACCTGGTATATAAAATAGACATCTATACGATGGCTTTATATCCGCTGGATCACTTTTCATTTTTTTAATTCCTGTTAATGTCAAAATAACTGAATTACATGTAGGGTGAGTTCACCATGCATCGGACACATACCTTGCTTCGGACAACATTAGGCAATAAACTCTCTTTCAACTTAAGAGTTCTGTGTAGTTATTTGTTTCTGTCATAAAGACGAAGATTTAAATTTTTTAATGATACCGATTGTGTTTATCATGTTGTGATAAAAATACCCCGCAAATGGCTTTGAAGTTACGTCATATTTTATATCATCAAAGGGGAATAACCCGAAATTTATGATTTTGCAATTTTTAGAGTTATCGTTCTTTTAAATTCGACTTCCACGGAACGAGTCGGACTTTGGTGAATTTTGTCAGGGATTGGTAATTTTACATAAATTATAATTAAATTTCACTTCAATGTTTGTTTAATTCTTATTAGAGCTGGTTTTTACTAGTATGCTATTTTCACCGTACATCGGACACAAATTAACCATGCATCGGACACTTTTCGATGCAAAGGTAAACACTACCATTTTCATACAGAACCCAGCTGACAGCTGTTTTTTGTGGAAAAGGAAAATAAAAACTCTATTTTTTCAGTCAAAATACAAGTTATCGATATATGACGTCTGGAATTTTACTCAATTTATTTCTACAAACCAGAGTATGATAAACCATGAGAAAAAGGCGCGAATTACGGCATTATAAGCATTTTAAAGCATTTCTAAGGCAGAGTGAGGTCTCGAGAATCGTTCTACATTTGTGCAATAATATCGTCGATTAAATTAAAGTTGAGGGTTATTTCTTAGATAAAAGATGAAAATATATCCATATCAAGGATTTTAAAGCACTGTGATAAAGGTATGATATTTTTCCGGTCTCCATACCGTCTGTCCGATGCATGGTGAACAATGTCCGATCCATGGTGAATTTTCAATTTTTTCTAAAAACTCGATTTTTGGGGATATTTTCTCAATAAACGGAATATAATAGTGTCCTAAATTGTTATTTTAATCACAAACTAAATGTTTAACTCCATTTTGATAATTTTCCGTCGGTAGCGATTTCGCTAGAACTTGTTGAAGTACAAGGGTATCCAATGCATGGTGAATTCACCCTATCTGTTTTTTTAATGTTCAGAAATATTTAACATCTGGAAATAATCGGGTGCAACTTTTAAGTTAGGAAAATTTAATTGAGACCTGGTTCTGTTCAAGCTTTGATAGAATGGAAAGGTAATGTTTATGTTGTTATTATTTTCATTTCTCTACATTTTCCAATACCTGACTAACTCACTGATATCAATAGTGTGGGGATCAGTAAATGGATGCAAAGGGCAATCCATTTTTTGAATATCTTTCGGAATGTCTTTTTCTGGTAGGAAGTGATCTAAGATATCCATTGCAATAGGATTTTCATTTTCCACACGACATCTAAAGCCTCTAACAAAATATAATTTCCTGTGAAACTTTCCAGCAAAATTATTTAGCATATTTTCTACAGTGTCCTGAATTTTCTGTGTTTTATCCGTTTGTAAAATGCTATCTGGCATTGAAGGAATCACTTGAAGTTGTATGGATTCTTTTGTGACGGACAAAACGATACGATAATCCATGTAGGAGAACAAAGCTGCATCCTTGTAAAGGCAAGATGTGCCTTTACTAAATAGTACTTTCCAATCCTTTTCTTGCATACAGGCAACAACAAGACGAAAAAACATAAAATATGGCAAAAATCCAAAACAGTAGATAAGAACGGATGATTTATTCTCGGCCCCCTTAAGGAAATTTGGTATTTCGTCCTCCATTTCTTTCCTGTTCATGCATGGGACGTAGTGGTTATCCTTTCCAACAGCCAGCAAACCAAGCCTTTGTGTGAAATGGAGAAGTGATTCCTTATGATCAAGTAATTTATTCTTTGCTGGCATAAACAAGATATCAAATACTTTAAGTTTTGGTTTTACAGACAGCAATTCATCTTTATGTTTCCAAATTTCTTCCAAAAGTTTGTCTCCTAAATTTCCTGTTCGGTAATACTCATTCCAGTCCTTCAGATTTACAGGAAAACCTTCAAAATGCAACTTGTCTGTTATTATATGTTTGAAGGCACCAATAAACCACTGGACGTCAATAATTACCTTATCATCTAAACCGGTCTCATTAAAATACAGAGCTTTTCCAGCATCATGGTAATATCGTAGCATATTCTTTTTTTCTACTTGTGAATTATCTGGACCTTTTGATGTTATTTCTGATACATTTATAATTCGCTTCTTGTGCTTCTCCTGGTTGATTTCTAGCTCAAATAAAAGCCATTCTTTTGGGATGCTTTCTTTCCAATGCTGTTGACATGCTATTTCGAATAAACACCTTTCAAATTCATTAATAGATTCAGAAAGTTGTGTACAATAGCATGTGCCTTTTTTGACGTACTGTGATAAATTTGAGGTCTGGGGGATCTGACGCTGCAGGCTTTCCATAAAAGCTTCTTTGTCCTGCAAGAATAAAATAATGTTAGTTGCAATGGATAAAGCTGAACAGTCTCGTAAGAAAGGCGTATTAAGTATTGATCTCATAGGTATCAGTGTGGAATTGCAACGCATTTTCATGCTGATTATCTTTAATTGCTTTGACTGAAAAATCAAACTCCATATCCTTGTTTAGACCCCGCGATAACCCCGGCGGTCATTGTTTTTAGCCGGGCGTATTGCTCAAAGAGCAATTGCCGGCTTATGTGATCCTGTTCAAGGCATGATGTTGACCCCATAGTCACCATGTTAAAGTTACATGCAAAATATATTTTTCAGTCTCAACCGCTTTTGAGATAATATAAACGATAAAGAAAGCAACAAAAATAAAACGAAGTTTTATCTTTATAAAATAAACATTAGTAGTTATGACTTTGAAAACTTCACAAGTCAAAAAACATAGTTCATTGATAATCAGTGTTACCGTTGTTCTCTACACATACGAGGTAAAGCAGGAGAGGGAACCAGACTGGTATGTTTTTTTTTTACATTCAGCTGCGGTACTAGGTTTATTCTGATTCTGACAAAATCGGACCGTGGCATTAGGATTGAAAAACTCACTGTCAGTGTCTTATAATTTATATTGATATTTTTAAAATAATTTTTTCATCAGAATATAAACGTGATTCATATAAGAAAGCCATTCTACACTGTAAATGAGCCCGGCTCTCTGTACTTCTGAGTACTTTGATTTGGACATTTTAGAATGTACACAACCCAAACATACTTCCATAAAAGGTCCAATTTTTTGGAAATTTCAAGATCTTAATTTTTTTCTAAATAGTTCATTGTAATTCTTTAACCCCACTCTTCCCCAAGGGGCCATGATTTCGATAACTTATAATCTACAATATCATAGGATCCTACAGTTTTTATCTTTCCATACCCAGTGGTACTTCAGAAGATTCTTAAAGATTGTTGGAATACATTTTAACGTTTACCTTTGATCGCCTGTAGCCCGACACTACCCAGAGCTAAGACCCCAACAATTTTGATTCTTCTAAACAATTGCGACGTCGCGTGATTACATTCAATCTACAGTAAAATTGAATAGCGACGTCACGTGATTACATTGAGTAAAATTGAAAAGTACACAGTTGAGTATATACGAAATTAAGCGTACCTTAAATTGTCGGTTTTCTTCTTCCCAATGAGTGGCCACTATTAGAACTACGGGCTTTGTATCCTTTTCGTTGTCAGAACCACAGTATGTGTGTATAGATTTAATCCAAAATTCAAAGTAGTCTAAAATCAATAAATGGAAAAAAAAAGTTAAGGTATTAAATGTATTACGACCATGTTTTTAAAAAATAAATGAATGATCCAACATTTTTTATCATGGCTTCAATTTCAAGGTGTTTTTTAATATATATGCTCCACCCGAGGAATCTACCAAAGCATGATTATTGCCCGATTAATTTCACCTTGAGTAGAACTTTGAAGAATATGGACAGAGGATGTTTTCTAGAGATATTGTAAATAGTGATTTGAATTTCAAACAAAATCTTGATGAAAAGATGCATGAAAATTTTTTTTTATAAAAGCATAAAATAAATTGAATATTTTATCCCATATGCTTTGATAAATTAAAATGTTCTCTTTTTCATCGAGGACAGATAACTTTTCCAAACTTCAAAGAACAAAAATATCCGGCTTCTTATATGTTATCAGTCTGTATAGATTTGGCTCATTTCAGTTTTATTGTTATCTAGGAATGTATTTGTTATCAATGTTATCAATAGACTTTAATTTAGGTCATACCAATTTTTCTTTGATCGGCGGACCCGCGCTCTCTTATTTAGACAAAACTATACAAACAACATCAACTTCAGTTTCCAGCAGTATGGAAACCTGTGTTATTTTCGTTTCCATTTCCGCTGTTTTTCGTATTTTAAATCTGCGTATTCTTCAATTCAGAAAAAAAAATGATAATTATCTTTTCAGATTTTATTCGCCCTCGGCCTACAAATTTTGCCCACAAAAAGTAATAACATTATTATTTAACCACTTCTCCACTCGTATTTTTTGTCATTAAATTTCTGACGAACAAAAAATTTAATTGGTATGGCCTTAGCAAGAAGTGTAAAAAAAAATGAAGGTCTTAGCATGCAAACTGCTATTATGTACTACAATTTAATAAATATTATGTGCTCTTAAATACTGAAACTGATAAACATTTTGGTTCATATGAACCTGAAGCACATTTGCAGCTCTGTTCTGCAGCAACAATAGGCACTTAAACAAAGGAAACTAGTACATGTATTTTCTACAATAACAATAGGTATATAGGATTTAGGGGGTGGAGGTGGGTAAAATTTGTAAACCACATTTCATTTTCGGAGCCAAAAGTTATTTTGTTAAGGATGAGGCTTATAGCCGTAACTAGAAGGCGATAAAGTATGAAACCCGGAAAATCCCTTCTGGACCTATGAATTCACACAAAATAGTCTTTAATAAAAATACGCAATTTTGTACGGACTTAGATCACATAAATTCTTTAATATACATAAACACACTTTTCCAACAAAGAGCAGCAAATATTTCCATTTCTAATTTTTTTTCTCTGTGAAAACTCTTTGAAAGTTGTCGAAGTTTATTTCTTGATAATTCTGCCGGAATGTAAGTTAGGCAGGTCGATAGGTCAGGAGCTAAGGAGGCCTAATATGCATGCAAATCTCGTGCACATATGTCTCTGTGTCTGACGCTAAGGATGCCAAATATGCATGTAAATCTCGTGCGGCTGCGCCTTTGTGTTTGACGTCAGTGGGCTAGGACTATTGAAATTGACATGGAAGTCTTCGTGTGATTTAAGGCTATGTCTACATTTTTAAAGTTTAAATCTACAATTTTTCGCCCGCTATGCAAATTATTCCATGTTTCCCACTATTGTTGATGCCCTGTCATGCTCTCAAAACTAGACAGTGATTCCTTAAATAACACTCTGGAAATCAAACAACATAAACATAAGACTGTTGTCCAAAAAGGATGGTGGAGTGACCAATTGTATTAAATGTGTATATATGATTCTTGTATGTTATGAGGGATTGGGGACGGATATCTAATTATTTGAAAACATTTGTATATCATAAATCCATTTTTTTTTTGTTGAAATTACAAATTATGTATTTTTTGTAAATATATTTAATTATCAAATGATTTTAAATCAATTGAAAGAACGCAATGCACCCTACTTTTTGACAATCACTTGATAAAAAAAAATATTTTGGTTGTAACGCCTTGTAAAGTGTATTATCATTGGATACAATAATAACCTATATTGTATAAGCCGTATTGCCTAAGTCACAGTGATATACATGTACCTTAAAAAAGCCTTATCAATGAAACCCTTTATAAGTTTACACAAGTACATGTAATCATACTTCACATTCTCTTTAAACCGATGTTAACCTCTGCTTAAAAATAATCGAATGTTTAATTGATGTTAATTTTGAAAACATATGTTTCAAAGTGATTTCTGTAATTCAAAAAGTAGAAAAAATAAAACATTTTATGTACCTCCATAGGTCCATCCAGAGAAGATACTACCATCTTGATCACAAACTTCCTTATCCACCTTCTGGTCAAGAGGTTTAGAGGCGTCAACCACCACGACATAGAAAGCTCTCCTGGTCAGATAAATCTGGTGACAGGCATAATATGCACACTGTCCTCCAAAGTCAAAGAAAGTCAGAGTCCTTGAATCCAAGTTTTTAGAATTATTTTCAACATTTTTTTGGTCGTCGAATTTTCTTCTAGCTGAAAAAGTCATTAAAATAAATATTTGCAGAGCTGTAGCGTTATAGTTTTATATATCTTTAGTTTTTGTCCATAAAGCTACAGATCACGTAATGCAATAAATGTGCAATGTAAGGCGCAAGATTATCTCCACTTTCCAACTTTGGTAAATCACCATTTACCCCTTAATTCCAGACATGTGCATTCTTAAACCGATATGTATATTTTATACAACTCTCAACCCTTTATAGTCGCCTCTACATGCGAAAAAACTGGCTACATTTGAATTTTCTGAGTACAGAAAATTCTCATTCAAACGAGTTTATAGCTTCGAAATATAGACCACAAAAATGAGGTTTGAGATGTATAAAAAATAAAGATTTATTAAAGAATGTGTATGGAATTATGTAGCGAAAGGTAGATGATTTACCAATGTCCTGCAGCTAAAAAGTAAATACATGTATCTCACTGCTGCTGATGAAACAAACAATTGATAAAGCACGCGGGAAAAAGTTAATTATATTTAGCAAACAGAAAATACTAGTATCTATGATCAGTATTGTCAGATTAATTTTAAAGAATGCAGAATTCAGAATAAATCAATTATAATCTTAGATATTACAAAAATCCTTTATTTTAGAAACATTATAGTTTATGTAAATATTAACTCATTCGTATTATTTGTGAAGATTGTAAATTATAAAACATCACAATTGTGAATTTATGGGTTTTTTTTTTAAACACAAATGCCCATGTAGATCCTTTTCTACCTTTTTACGGTGGAAATTATAAATAAACGAAGTTTAATTTGAATAATCTTACCTTTCAATGACTTTGTTTTATCACATAATTCAAATATTTCCTCATGCACCTCCAATCCCTCAGTAGATTTTACTTCTTTAATCTCTTCTTCACTACAACGAAGTAGACGTTTAAGTAGCGTGGTTTTTCCCGCCCCAGCACATCCTACAATCATCCCCCGGGCGTGGTGGACTGTCTGTGTTCCTCTCTTAGCGTACTCCACATACCGCTCTCTGGCCTCCTGGTCCCATCTCAGTACTTCCAAAGGGACTCCTACTGTATTAAAGGGAAAACATCAAACATCAGAGCATCAAGACAAATAATAATTCTTGGACAATAGTGTCTTCGTTGTTTGTTTCTGTTGTCAACTTTGACCTTTGCCATAAATTTTGAACCAAAGGAAATACAGACATCATATTTCATATGCATACTCCATGATTTTAGTTCTTTTAAATGACACTCTGACACTAAGGTCAACGACCTTGTGATCTTGACTGCGATCCATATGATAAAAATATTTTTCGACATTACGCCATGACTTTTGAACCATTGGATACAGAGACTTCATTCTAGGTATGCATACTTCACTTATTAAGTTCTCTCAAATGACAATGACCTCGTGACCTTGACTGTGACCTATATGCTAAAATAGTTTTTTTTAACTTTCGACATAACTTTGGAACCGAAGGAGATACATCTTCGCTAGCCAAGGGTATCTGATACACTACTCTCCTTATAAACTCTTTGCATACGGTGTTGATAGAAGTTGGGTTTTTTTTCTCGATCGAGTTCTGATTGGGATTGGCACACCCGGTCGACCAATCAGCAATTGTTTTTTTTTTTTGTAAATGACGATATAAGCGTTCGGGACACTTCTTGATTCTTTAGTCTCAGGAATGAAAAACGCATAAGATAACATGAAGTTCTATAAATAGCTATGGCGTCATCCAATATCTTCTAAATACATGATTATCATAACAAAATTTGAAGTAAAAATAAGATTCTAATACATTTTATGGATTTGCACTATTCGGCTTAGAGAGATAGCAGATACGAGCGCTGAGGATAAAATAAATCTACTTACTGGTATATAAAAAGATGGATTTGGTTAAAAGAAATTAAAGATGCAGACCGATGGGAGTTTAACTTTAATCTGGACAGTTCCCAGAGATAAATCATTTAGTCGGACAAAGATAACGAACGCACGGGAGTATAAATGTAGCTCAGTGGGACAATTCGGCAATGGAAAGCTGAATTTTGTCTCTTTCTGGTTACATTTATTCAGGTAAAATTATTTTGTAGACTTACGCGCGTTTTGGTTAACATTATTTAAATGTTCACATGGCTTATTTTATTTACAAGTTAAGTTTTTTTTTAATTATAAGTAGTTATATTTCTAATAAGGTTTAGTATATTTTGTAAAATTATTTATTGATATTATAAATATTAGAAATAGATTGTTTACTTTAATAAAGAGTGGAAAGCTGAATTTTGTCTCTTTCTTTTTGCATTTATACAGGTTGGGTAACATCTCCACTCCCCATAACCTGTAATGCGCTGAACATGCAGGAAGAGAATAAATAAATCTGAGGGAGATAAAATGTAAACTGGGACATTGCAAATCGGATAAACTTTGTCTGGTCAGGACCAGGGAATTGGAGGAAGGTTTTCCCTGGCCCTTCAAACCTCTCACATGCGGAAAAGCGAACGATCCCGGGAGTTTACAACCAGATCCAGTAACCAGACGCATAATATAGAAAACCCAAAAACAAATTCACAAAACTAACAGAAATCCGAAAAACAAAAATTTCCCCACAAGAACATTTGAATTGTTACGAAATGACTAAGAATTGTAGTTTAGATTTGTACATAAATAATAAATAAACATAACTCATTTAATTATTATTGCTCTTAATTATTCTTGAAAAAACTTTGATTTAATTTTTTTTTCAACACATGTCTTTATTTCTGTCGATGACTCAATCTGTGCATACCTGATAGATTCGAGATCACGTGACGAAAATAGGGTGTTGCTAAAACGCGGAACGGAAAACGGAATGTAAAAAAAAAAGGAAATAATCTAAAATACACAAATTTTATCAGAAACGGTAAATTTATGCATATTTAATCCCACATTAATAAATGCAAGTTGATTATAGTCATGTTAAGTCTATTATTCACGAAAACCGCTGACATAGCAGTGACGAAGGGGGTTGTTGGAGAAGAAACAATCTATTTACTAGTACCTGAAAAGAACTGGACAAGCGAAAAAAAAAACAATTGTTCTATTCGAAAGAGGGGGGGGGGGGGGGGTAAATTCCGACTCAAATTCTTTCAGTACTTATTTTTACACTAACTTAATATACATAAATTTAACAGAAAGTGTTCGGGGATTCAATGAACAATTCTATAATGAAAACCTTATTGCTTGGGAAAAAATGGGGAGGGAAAGGCAAACATTTGATATCTAAATGAATCATGTTAATTGGTAAGAGATATAAATATCTAAAAAATATCTTAAGATTACTGTTAGAGTACCCCTTTCGGATAAACACCTCGAGTGTAAAACTTGATAAAAATTTGTACAAAATAGAGTTGCTTTCTATCTATTCAAATCCTGGATATATAGATAGAGTCATAAATCTTAACTGTGGCAAAATTTATGTATCATCTGTACAGTCAATGAAATTAAAGTGTATTTGAAGGTGAGGGTTGGGTATGAATGACCCCGTAAACATTTTCAGTTTCCCTGTTTTTCGTCTCATCTGAAAAGTTGCAACTAAAGAAAACAGTTGAACATGTAGCTGTAGTTCTCCGAAAAAAATATATCATAAACCGGAGAGCTACAGTTCCACCCATTGAAAAAACTGTATATTTATTGCGCACAAAAAAGTGCGCTCGGATCTCGATTTATTTCTCCATGTTTTTAAACTGTGATTTCAAAACATTACCATGATTACTAACCGTGTGTTCCGAGGATATTCTTTCGTTGTTTCCACAACCAAACCGTGGCATTCCTCTTAATTGTTGTTAATAGTACTCCTGACCCTGATATTGTAATCAAAGAACATTTCGCTTATATGTATACTGTACTGCCATTTTGGTTTCAAATATAATTCGGTCCAATTTACTTCGATCAGATATCAACTATATATGAGAGTACTTGATAGAGGAGAAAGGAATGACATTGTTTAAAATCTTTCCTTTATTTGCAATTGAGGTAAGAATTTGGAAAAAAAAAATATCAATAAATATACAGTTTTTTCAATGGGTGGCTCTGTAGCTCTCCGGTCTATATATATTTTTTTCGGAGAGCTACAGATCTGCAGCTACTGAACATGCTGTTAAATTCATTTGTTCAATTCATTCGAAAGAACCTTTTTCTTATGTTCATATTTTAATTTCTCAATATGCATTGATATCATGTCATGATTTAGAGGAACCAAGACGCATCCCCCCGCTAACCTATTTTTGGTGAAAAAATTTACATGAAATTTATTAAATCATTTTTTTGTTGTTGCTGAGGGCACCTATTCCGACCCCAATCTGCCCCCTTTCAAGATTCCTGGGTACGCCACTGCATGCATAATCTGAATGTCAGAACGGGTGCATGTTTTTTTGTCTTTTTTGGCTAGCCCCCCCCCCCACCTTTTTTCCAAACATGTATCTAGTATAGATATTGAACATTGCTTTGTAGTTTTAGCCCCTTCTCCCTACTTTCCACAGACACGTCGCAATATAGGTTAAAAAATCGTGAAAATGATAGTGGTGAGGGAAAAAATTTGCCATTGAAGTTCGAACCTACAACCCCCCCCCCCCTCCCAACGTTTGGGAAATGTTCATCATACTCCCCTTTTTTTTGCTTGTCAGGTTTTTCCTAAAGGTATATATATTTTTTTTTACACCTAGCCCCCCCCCCCCCCACTTTCAATTTGCTTCCGACGCCAATGTTTACAGACACATGTATGTACATACTAGCAGTTTTTTCCTTCTGCCTATTCATATTTTTCGTTTATGAATGAGCTTTCTTAAAAAAATTAATTTGAACGAATCCTTCAGATGGATACCCTGGATTTGAGTGTAGTAAATATATATCTCGCAGACTATATATATTGACCATCCCATGTACATGTGCTAGTTCTGAGGGGTGCATCAGGTTAATGAATATATCGTATTTTACTATAATTTTTCATTAGAGGTGCCTTTTATATCATGAATATTGCTTTTTATGTGTGATTAATATCAATCTAGGTTATTTGCTTGACATTAATTTTCTGTTTTCCGTTCCGTTCCGTTTTCCGTTCCGCGATTTAGCAACACCCACAAAAATATCCCGTCCTTTGACTTCACCGTATCCCAAGGGTTTATGAGGAGAAGAATATGGAAATAACGAACAGTATTCAATCTCAACGTCCATTAAACAAATATACAAAATAAGAGCAGAGCAAACACGGACCTCCGAAACATCAGAGGTGGGATCAGGTGCCATGGAGGAGTGAGCATCCCCTGCCGACCGGTCACACCCGCCGTGTGGTCGTTGTCATAATCAGGAAATAACGGAAAAAATCCGTGGTCAATTCAGTGTATAAATAATGGACTAACAATTGGTATGAAAAACGTCAGTCAGCATTTCATTCAATGATAAATTGTATTTGCTGACAAGGTCATTGTATCGACCATAGAATTTACGAAATGATGACTTTAAACGAGGCTGTTGATATTCTTGTTTAATCAACTTGCTTGTCAATAATTTACCTCGTTAAAGAAATTGTTCATACGTAGAGCATGCCCTTGCGTATCGAATCAACTGAGATATAAATACTCCGTATGCAGGTGATGAAGGTATATTGCTGCATAAGTAAGGGAAGTTGACGATAGAAAAGTTAAAGTCATCACGTTTATCATATAGCTTGTTTGTTAGATTACCATCAGTGTCTTTTTCAAGTAAAATATCCAAGTATGAAGCAGAAGCTGAAACAGAAATCTTAATATCTTTTTTGTTTTATGATGAAATGTTTTGAAACTTATAACATAGACATGTATTAGGATGTACTACAATATGATATATAAAATTTTTCATGAAATCACGCGCATGCACGTGCGCTGCAATCTGATTGGCTGAAACTTTAAATGACTATAACTCCCTTGATTTTTAACCAAACAGCATGGAATTTAGAACATAGATAGACATAAAGGACTCCTACAAGATGGTATGGTCACCATTTACATGCATGCACGTACGTGCACGTGCGCTTTGCTCTGATTGGCTGAAACAAAAATCTCAATATCTTTTCTGTTTTTTTACAAAATGCTTTGAAATTTAAAACATAGGCATACTTTAATATGTCCTACAATATGATAAATAATAATTGTCATGGAAACATGCGCATGCACGTGCGCTGCAATCTGATTGGCTTAAACTTTAAATGGCTTTAACTCCCTTGTTTTTCAATCAAACAGGATGGGATTAAGAACAAAGACAGACATAATGAATTCCTACAAGAAGGTATGGTCATCATGCACGTGCGTGCACGTGCATATGAGTAAAATAGTGTAGACAAGATGATATCGTCATTACGCTCATGCAATCACATGCGCACCCCTGCATTGCTTAAATTTGAAATACTTGGTATACTTTTTGGGAAAACGTTGTTTACATCTTAAATGCCTTCTTTTATGAAACTTACAGGGAATATGGCACGAGAAGGGAGTTGTGGAGCGTTTGGGGAACATCTGTAATGGTTCCCGTTACAATTAGCACTAGTTTGTATTGGTGTTGTATTCATTTTCTTATGCAACACTTTATTTGCATGCATTCACCATTTTGACTAGAGTGTATGTTTTATATGTCAGGAAGAGCAGTACAATGATTCAGTGTACCGTTGTACCGACACAAAAGACTTAAAATTAAGTTCTTACACTTAATTAAGGAGAGACAAAAATGTCATAATTATGAATAAGTTTTAACCCCATCGATTGTATTATTTATAATTCAAAATTTCACAGATATATGTGATCTTCTTAAGCAACAAATATGTATACATTAATGTATACGAGTTACGCCTACCCAAATGAGAACTTTGACTAAGAACCCCACATATTTGGGTAGGCGTAACATCCACTCTAAGTGTCTACATCTCGTATATTAATGTATACATTTATAAAGAGGGTTGCATAAAAAATAGCATTTTGATTACCAAAGAACGTTAATTTTACAAAGTGTTATAACAAAAGTATTTTAAAGAATTTTTTTTTTATAAACATGAACATCATCTTAATAAAAATGTGCAAAGAAGACAAAAAAAAAAAGATTTGAAAAAGAATACACTGCTAATAAATTAAGAATATAATAATTCTAAATTAATAATACTCACAACGTCCACTGATCCTGTCATGAATCCCCACGTCAGACATGGTACAGTGTGTGATGATGTCCAGCTTTAGTTTGTCTATGAAGAGGTCGTACATCTTCTCCGGTATGTCCGGTACATACAGACATCTCTCTCCCTCACTCCTCTCATAACGCCAGGACCGGCAGTATTCTGATATCACGTCACGTGACGCCGTGGTCAGGAAAAACTCCAGATCACTGTCCTCCACCAGACACTCCGTAACAAAGGCGTACATGACGTCATGTCGGGTGTGGTCTGATATAAACGTTATCACACCATCACGTGTTTCTGTGATTCCATCAGGAAGATCTACCAAGCCGTCTACAGTTATATCAGGAAAATATCTGTCTCTGATTTTGTTCCTTATAATTTTGTGGGATTCCTCATTGACATTCAGCTGATATTTCTCAGCTAACTGTATGCTGTACAATAGATTCCGAATTTTTGGCGAATAGTTATGACATTTACCTAAAATGAGAATTGAGCTTTTTTTAAGAATAAGATACATTCTTATGATAAAAGATAATATGTAATTATATATTTTCAGCGATTGATTATTTATAAATAAATATAAGGATTTTCAATTGCCGTATTTGACATTTTAATACTATTAAACTTTTCTGGGGAAATAGCCATTTTTTCTTACTCAATTGTGGCTGATATATAACACATTTTATTCCAGAACCCTATATAATTTAAACCTACCTGTATTATACAAAGAATTTCAAAGCATTGATTATATCTGGGCAGAAATTAAATGAGCTAAACCACCCCCTCCCTTCCCAAGTTGTCGTTTTACGTTTGTTTAAAAGAGGGTATATATTCGGTACGTATTGATATTCTAAACAAATTCTTAAGAGTCGTACATGTATCTGGAGAGAATGTTATATATTGTAATAACTTAGTTTAGCTAGATTTTCAACGAGAAAGAAAAATATATAATTAAGAAGCTGTGAATTCTTGAATGAAATAAAATTTATTGAAAGTAATTTTCAATTCAAATATTTTCTTTGCATTTTTAAGAAAGCTATTCTTCAATTTTAAAACAAAACACACTTTCCTTTCCGCTTTAAATCTCGAGAAGCCTTTAACCCTTTGCAGTTAAATTTTATACCACAACTTGCTATGGCCTAGGGAAGACCCCTATCCATGTTGAAGTCAAAAAGTCAAAGGTCAAGGTCGTAGATACACTCTCTGTGTGTAAAAGGTTCAATTCTGTGAGATTTCTGATGATCTTTAAAGTTTTTGTTGGAATGAATGTTATACAATATCTACCTATGGTGCAGCCTGCCCTTCTTTTAGTGACCCCCCCCCCCCGCCCCCCCTAGATCCCATCCCTACCCTTGATCAACTCATTTTCTTTTTTTTCCTTAAAAAGGGGGATGTATATTCTCTGATTAAACCTGCTTAATTTTGAAAAAATATCAGTTGCTAATATATTTGAATAGATGAAGTTCTTATAAATTATTATTCATATCAGACTGTCCAAAAGTCAAGATTATTCTTATAAATAAAATAAACACGCACTCTGAGAGTATTGCATAAACAAAACATGTCCCCTACCGGGTTTCCTTTTTTCTTTAGGATGTCATTTATACCATGCAAAAGTTATGTTGAATGTGAAACTGCTTGATTTTGAGGTTATGAATGCCTTTAACTAATAAAATAATCCACGTTAAGAAGAAAATTCAACTTAATTCTCAACGTTTTTTTAAGATTTAAGAGTCAATAACATAACAATTTAACACGAACCCGATCTCAAACGATTATGAAAAATTAAAATGCCATAATGTC